ACCCATTTCATTACACCAAATACACAAAATAATGTTCTTTTTAGCAGCATCATATGACCCCTTTAAATGATTTTTAACTAAAATTAAATTATATTTGTATGAGAAAAAAATGTTTTTAAAAACGTGCATGTGCATACATATGAAATTACATTTAAAAAAGAGCCATTTACAAATAATTTTACAATAATAATAATAAATATTCAAATAAATATATTATAATAATAATAATTATTATTATATTTTGTTAAGAAAGTATTCAATACAAAATATTCACCTACATCGATTCTGTTATGTTCACACGCCAATAAGAGAAATAATTTCCCAGAAAAGTGGCAAAACAGCTTTGTTTGTTCTTAATTTTGAGGCAAATACATCTATCGTTCAGTTTCATGTGTTGTCGCGAAGGCTTGTGGGTAATGCCTTCGCGATGCATCCAGTTTCACTTGAGCAAGCCAGCTGACTGTCTCGTTCAGGCGCAGCGCTGGAGATTCACCATTAACCCAGCGCAATGCTCCGGCTCCGGCTCCGGCTCCGCTGAATCTCTCGGATAGTTTCTCACAATCTCCGCTCGGATGAACATGAGTCGGAACGAGCATTCTCTGCAGGCTCTGTCCTGGAGAAAGCTTTATCTGAGCAGAGCCAAACTCAAAGCGTCCAGTCGCACGTCTGCTCTTTTATCCGGTTTCGCAATGGTGAGTTGTTTTTCGCGTCTGTTTCTTTAGTGCTGTGGATGTTCAGTTTGCACCGGCGGTATAAACACGTTAAAGTCGTTAAAGAGAAAGCGCGTGTTTAATAGTGTTGTGTAAGTTTAAGCGAATATTTTGGCTTTAAAACGCGCATGACTCGAGTCTATGATGCATCTGCAATCACAAACTGACAGCCACAGTTGTTTAGCTCGTGCTAATGCTCAGCTAGATTTTTACTTGGTAAAAATCAGCAGTTTTGTATATAATTTATGTATATAAAGAGCATCACGAGAAGCATAACGCCGGATGCAGCAAAAAAAATCTCAACAACTTCTTGAGTCTTCCACTGCAGTGCACTTTAATTCAGTGCCAGACCTATTCTTGAGACGTCTTACAATTTCATTTGCACATGTACAACTTTACATTCACGTTCAAATCTTCTTAAAACCTACATGCAAGATTCGTTTAATGTAATTATTCTTTATTTGTTTAAAAATAATTCTTTGTGTATAAAAGCTTGAAAAATATTCAAATCAAATTTAAAAAAAATGTTTAGAATTACGTATAACACTTTCCATATAGATAGATAGATAGATCATCTTAAAAATGTGATCAATTTTACAAACGTTTTTATTTTATATCTG